ACTTTTCTATTCCTATTGGTAATTTATCTGAAGAAGCGAGCGAAGCCCGGAATAAAGAATTCAGGCAATACAGAAAAGATCACACGCGCAAAATTAATAGAATTGTTACGAATGAAGATCTTCTGAATCATCTTTTAATCACTTCTGATCCTTTAATTTCGAGTTTACGACCAAAAATGAATGAAAAAAAGAAACAAGAAATGTTCTCCGAAACTCTAAAACTTTTATTGCAATTCTTTTTTTTCCTCTTCATTTAAGTACATCAAGATGAGTTTAGAGTTGAAAATATCGCGAAAGTGACGAGTCGCGGGGTCTTATCATTGTACAGATTTATTGTTATATATGTATATTTTTCAATAATTTAGAATAAAAACAAGTTGGATTACCATAAAAGCCACGTTATACAATTATTCCTTGATGAATATACAGTATTAATTTAAAAAATTTGATTCTATGACAGTTGCACACATCATGTCTGCTCTTTCCTTTTTATTTTGTTTTATTTAACTTTAGATTCTTATAAAGTAACCAAAAAAAAACATTTTGGTACTCATTTTTAAACTGTTTCATTGACATTTCAATGAGTTATTGAGATATGTCCGCAAATTTGCCAATTCAGCCCACTGTCCTAAATCAGAACATAAAGTGTCATTACGATATCTTTTGGACATTATATCAAAAGTCATATAAGAAGTCTTTATGCCCCGATTTTGAATGTGGTGTTATATTTGAATAACATTTTATAATATACAAAAAAACGTTAGTATTGTATTGAAACATTTAAGGACAAAAAAATAAATTGTATCTAGATCATATTTGACTTAATGACAAAAAATATTAAAACAAGACATCTGAGACTAAACAAAAAATCCAACTTTATCTAGTGAGATCATACTTAACTTTAAACCGGTCAATTCGAAGTGTGGCTATTGCGGCTTTATTTTAAAAGGGTCATGCAGAACAATATTGTTGCAAACCGGAGCCGTGTCGGCTCCGTGTCCGCTCGCGGTGCCCGTTCCTGTGGCAGCACGCGGTACTCACGTTTTTGCCTCGGCCCTCTCCCCGGACCGGGTGGATCGAGTAGCTTGGCTCGGGAAAAGGGGGATGAGCGAGCCGTGAGTGCGAAGTCGGTCGTAGCAGCGCTTTTCGGAAAGTACGCTTCGGAGTTATCGCGTTGTAAAACCGGTGATCAGCCGCGCCCCTCGTCTACACGCTACTTGTACTATACTCTTCTCTAAATAAAGTGTAAGCCGCTATCGGATATAAGATCGGCAAGGCGAGAAACATATTTTGGTCTTTCGAGCCGAATCCCGGATCCTTGATCGTGGTGTGAGACGGGTGCAAGGAAACTTCGCGAACTTTCGCTGCCGCGTGGCAACGCTCGAGCCGGCGTCGGTCGACGGTGGACGTCTCGGAGTGCCGAAGCGGGCAACTCGTGGACAGAAGTGGAGTGAAGTGGGGAGACAGTGGAGTGTCGGCCATACGGAAAGGGTTGCGGGATAAATCGCGGCTACGCGAGATCTCCCCGCTCACCGCGCGGCACCGCGCCTACGTACTCCGTTGCCCCGCTCACCGCGCACCACCGCGCACCACCGCGCCTACATGCTCCGTTGCTCCGCTCACCGCGCGGCACCGCGCCTACGTGCTCCGTTGCTCCGCTCACCGCGCACCACCGCGCCTACGTGGTCCGGCGCGGCGCCCCGCTCACCGCGCGGCACCGCGCCCACGTGCTACGCGCTCCGCGCAGCTCGTTTCTCGTGTCGTACAGGGGCACATCTCTCGTTGATCTACGATGACATCGGTCCAGAAATCGGACCAGAAGATGGACCCTGCTCTCAGGAAGCAGTTGGCGACTAAGGGCTACATCGATCGCTTTTGGGAGAACTTGATTAAAGTCGGAAAGGACAAGATCACGCAATCCTACCTGAAGGCTCGCCTCTCGCTGCTCGAGGACTACTGGCACCACTTTGAAAACGAGCACTGTCCTCTTCGAGCTCGACGACGCGGCCACCGCGAACTACATGTCCAAGGACTTGTACACCGCTACAGAGGACAACTATATCGCCACCAAGACGAAGATCACCATCCTGTTGAGGGATGAGGGGGCGTCTAGAGCCGACACCTCGGCGGTCTTTATGAAGCAAATTCAGTTGCCGAAGATAAGTTTGCCAACGTTCTCAGGGGAGCAACTGACGTGGGAGAGTTTCCGCGACCTGTTCAGGTCTCTCGTCCACGAAGTGCCAGATCTGGCCCCCGTTCAAAAATTGCCATACCTTAAGGCCAGCTTAACCGGCGAGGCGGCTGCCATTATCGCCAACATGGAGCTGACGGACAAGGGATACGAGACGGCGTGGTCGGAGCTGATCTTGCGCTACGACAACCGGAGAGTTCTCCTGTCTACGCACATGCGTGTCTTCCTCTCCAGTCCCGCCATGGCGAGACCATTGTCGGCGGATCTGAAGCAAATTATCAGTGTCGCGCTACAGGCGAGGCGCTCTTTTGAGTCGCTCGGCCGACCCGTGGCGCACTGGGACGACTGGTTCGTCCACGTGATTGTGGAGAAACTCGATTTTCAATCGCGTCTCTTCTGGGAGGCGTCACAGCGAACCAGCTCGGAGTTCCCTACCTTCCGCCAGCTGCAAGACTTCTTGCAGACCCGGGTCAGAACCTTGGACGCCACGAACCCCAAGAGTTCCGTTGCCCCTGCCACGATTGCGGCAAAACAGGATCGCAAGGCCAAGGTGAATGCCCTAACGGCGTCGGCCCCTGGAACCGCAAGATCAAACAGACGGTGCTCTCTCTGCCAAGGCAACCATCTCTTTGGCTACTGTCCGCGATTCAAAGAGATGCCGGTGCCTCAACGCCGGGAGTGCGTGAAGAAGCAGGGAGCCTGCTTCAACTGCCTCAGAACGAAACACTTAGTTTCAAGTTGCCCTTCTGCCGTGCGATGTTTTCGCTGCCAAGAAAAGCATCACACTCTGCTGCATTTGACAGACGCCTCAGTGACCGCGGAGCCCGCCGAGAAGGGAGCCTTGAACCCCGCCGTGTCAGCTAAGGAATCCCCGCCCAGCGCTGCGGTGGCCACTAACGTCGCCGCGCTTGCTGCCGCTTCGGGCCGCTCGGTCTTGCTGGCTACAGTTCAGGCAACCTTCAAAAATAAAACCGGCGATTCGGTCATCGCCCGCGTGTTACTGGACTCAGGCTTTAAAGCCTCTTTTTTCTTCGACTGAGTAGCGCGCGCCTTGCGCCTGCCGAGACGCCGCGTTTATGTGCCAGTTTCCGGCCTCTAGGGCGCGACCTCGAGTGTCTCAACCCATGCCATCTCCGTGACGTTGGGCTCGCCGCACGCCCCTGAGGTGTGCTTTTATCTGCCGGAGATGCTCCTGTTGCCCAAGTTGACGTCGGTCCTCCCACAACAACCAGTGATCCGGCAAGACTGGCCCCACATACTCGGGCTGACGCTCGCGGATCCGCGCTACGACCAGCCAGCATCAGTGGACGCGATCCTAGGAGCAGATGCCTATGGGAGACTAATCCAGGACGGCTTCAGGCCGGGCCCCCTAGGGGCGCCTTCAGCTCAGTCGACATTGCTGGGCTGGGCCCTCATGGGCCACGCAATGAACCCCACCGCTGACCCAGAGCGCGCCGGCGTCGCCGTGCATCACGCTTCGGTCTCGTGCAATGACCTCGACCGTTCGCTCCAGCGGTTCTGGGAGATGAAAGAGCTGTCTAACGAGTAGGCTCCCTCGCCCGAAGATCTCCACTGCGAGGTGTTGTTTGCGGCTACGCATACTCGCGACGCGAGCGGCCGACACACCGTCCGGCTTCCGAAACGCGAGGACATCGGGAGGCAGTTAACCCCTAACCGCGCTGAGGCGCTCCGCATGCTGCTCAGCTTGGAGCGTCGGATGATACGTGACACTCATATACGGGACCAATACACGGCGTTCATGGCCGACTACCTGAGTCTAGGCCATATGGCGGCGGTCCCGGATGCGGAGATTGACCGTCCCGAGGCGAGGCTCACTACCTGCCGCATTACGCGGTCTTTAAAAGCTCGGATCTAGGAGGCAAAATTCGCGTTGTTTTCAACGCCTCCTTTAGCACCGCAACCGGCTCCCTCAACGACCTGCTACTTCCTGGTCCTAAACTTCAATCCGACCTGTGGCTGATCTTGTCCCGCTGGCGCCTTTTCAAATTCGTATTTATTTGTAACATTATAAAAATGTTTCGACAGATCCGTGTTCACCCGGAAGACACCCACTTTCAACGTATTCTGTGGCGTCCGGACCCCGCCGCGGAGATCCGAGACTTCTACCTACTGACCGTTGTATACGGTACGGCCTCGGCCCCCTACCTTGCGCTCCGAGTGCTGATTCAGCTAGCCGACGACGAGGGTAAGGCCTATCCTCTGGGCGCGAAAGCCATTAAACAAAACAGTTATATGGACGACTTCTATGGCGGCGGACACACCCTGGAAGAGGCTCTGGAGCCTCTACGCCAGCTCGTGGCGATCCTCAAGGCGGGAGGCTTTGAGCTGAGTAAGTGGGCAGCCAACACACCGGAACTCTGTCCGGATGGGGATTCGACAGCGAAGCTTCTTTATGATCGAGAAGGCGTGAGCACCCTGGGCGTACTATGGAGCCCTGCCGACGAACGCTTCGCCCTGCGCGTGGCGCCTCCCACCAGAGTATTGGGCTCTACCAAGCGGTCCGTGCTGTCGGACGTAGCCCGGTTTTTTGACCCACTGGGTTGGACAGCGCCGGTACTCATATTCGGCAAAATCTTTATACAAGACCTGTGGATGGCTAGACTAGACTGGGATCAACCGCTTCCGGAGGGACTCCAGTCCTCTTGGACAAAGTTCACGGAGACCTTGCCCTACTTGAATGCATTGAGCGTTCCACGCTCAGTCGGCTACGAAGTTGACGGCACCGTCGAGCTCCATGGGTTTTCCGACGTCTAGCCGGGCTTACGCTGCGGCTGTCTACCTGCGGTGCATGGACACATCCGGGGAAGTTTCTGTCCATTTGGTGGTGGCAAAGACCAAGGTGGCCCCGGTCCGACCGGTCACCATACCGCAATTGGAGCAAGGCGCCCTGTTGCTCACTGAGCTACTCAACGCAACCGGCAAGGGTCTCGACTTGAGCGGTGCGCAGAAGTTTGCCTGGATAGACGCCGCCGTGGTGCTTGCCTGGATCTGATCTCATCCTTCCCGCTGGAAACCCTTTGTGGCGAACAGGGTCGCAAAGGTACAGGATCTGCTGTTCCCCCCGAACTGGAGATATGTGTCGTCGGCGGAAAACCTGGCCGACGCCGCGACGAGAGGCATATCGCCCAGTGAGCTAGCCACGCTAGACCTCTGGTGGCGTGGCCCTACATGGCTCAGAGACTACAATTATGCCTGGTCCGAGCCAACGGTCGCTGATACTGATGTAGGGAGGGAGGAGCAGCGGATTGTGACGACTCACGTCGCAAGACGACCCACCGAGGACAACCCCGTCCTATTGCGCTTCTCGTCTTTATCACGCTTACTCCGTGTTACGGTATTTTGTTTTAGATTCCTTCACAACACCCGTAACCCCCGGAACAAGAAAGAGGGCTTTGTCACCAGAGACGAACTGGACGCGGCTCGACTCCGCTGGGTAAGAATTGCGCAGCGGCACAACTTTCCGGACGAGATAGCGCAACTCGGGGACTCAAGGCCACTCCCGGCTCGTTCTCCTCTCTTGCCGCTCTGCCCATTTTTGAACCACGAAGGGCTGCTGCGCCTGGGTGGCCGCCTGCAGCACGCATTGCTGCCCTTTGAGAAGAAGCACTCACTTATACTGGCAAAAGACAACCCTCTCTCCCTCCTGCTGGTGCGGGAGGCTCACATGACGTCGCTGCATGGAGGCCCCCAGTTGACCCGTAGCCTACTCCTCCAAAGGGTATGGATCCTCCGGGCCAACTCCCTCATTCGAGCCGTGATCCACAAGTGCGTGACCTGCGCACGATTCCGAGGCGCTACAGCGGCGCAGCAAATGGGACAGCTGCCAGCGGAACGCGCCCGCCCGGGTCGGCCCTTCCAGTCCGCCGGCGTTGACTACGCCGGCCCCGTGTTCCTCCGGACTACAAAAGGCCGCGGCCACAAGGCCGTCAAAGGCTATATCTGTCTGTTTGTGTGCTTGTCCTCCAAGGCCATACACTTGGAAGCCGTCTCTGACTTATCCTCTGCTTCATTTTTAGCCGCATTCAAGCGATTCACGGCCCGTCGGGGCCACTGCCGACTTCTGATAAGCGACAATGGGACCAATTTCCGCGGGGCCGCCAAGGAGCTGCGCGCAATGTTTAAGGCAACCTCCAGCTTCTACCATGCTAGCGCCGCGGACTTGGCCAACCACGGCACAGAATGGTCGTTCATCCCCCCCGGGGCGCCCCACTTCGGAGGGTTGTGGGAAGCCGGCGTCAAGTCAGTGAAATACCACCTACGGAGCGTGCTCGGGGAGCACAAACTCACCTTCGAGGAGATGGCGACACTGCTGTCCCAAGTTGAGGCCTGCCTTAACTCGCAGCCTCTGTACGCGCTGAGCAACGACCCGTCGGATCTGTCCGCGCTGACCCCGGGCCATCTGCTCGTTGGCGAGCCACTTGTAAACATACCGGAGCCTTCCCTGCTGGGCGCTGACGTGAACCGACTGCCATCACGATGGGCCTTGGTCTCTATGCGCGACCACTTCTGGAGTCGTTGGTCGAGAGAATACGTGCACCATCTACAGCAACTCAAAAAATGGAGGAGGACATCGCCGAACCTCGAAGTGGGCACGCTCGTACTCCTCAAGGACAAACTGCAGCCCCCCGCCAAATGGGCGCTAGCGCGAGTCACCGCCCTTCATCCCGGCTCCGACAGGCTGGTGCGCGTCGTCAGCATTAAAACCGCTTCTGCCGCATTCAGGCGACCGATCGCGAAACTGTGCCCGCTCCCGATCAAACCTCGGGCCGACCGCAAAAGTGTGCCCCCGGGAGGGCGTGACGGTTAAACCGCCGTGTAAATATATTGTACATTGTGTAAATATTAACTTGTAAGCCAATAGTGTAAGAGACGTCCGTCGTCTAATGAAGATTGTAAACTAGTAACCTGGCCCCGCCAGGCGCCATGGCGGGCGGTGCCCCTGGAGACTATAGGTTAATTTCGTCTAGTGGACGAGGCGAGCGGGATGTTGCAAACCGGAGCCGTGTCGGCTCCGTGTCCGCTTGCGGTGCCCGCTCTTGTGGCAGCACGCGGTACTCACGTGTTCGCCTCGGCCCTCTTTCCGGACCGGGTGGATCGAGTAGCTTGGCCCGGGAAAAGGGGGATGAGCGAGCCGTGAGTGCGAAGTCGGTCGTTCGTAGCAGCATTTTCGGAAAGTACGCTTCGGAGTTATCGCGTTGTAAAACCGGTGATCAGCCGCGCCCCTCGTCTACACGCTACTTGTACTATACTCTTCTCTAAATAAAGTGTAAGCCGCTGTCGGATATAAGATCGGCAAGGCGAGAAACAAATATTAAACCATCACTGTTTCACCACATACGACGAAAATGTCAATGTCATCAATGTTGATGAAAATGCTGTGGTCACTATGAGTATGTTAAAAAATTATGTTTTTTTTCTGAATAATTATAGCGACAGTTGCATGAAAAATTATATTTATTTACTTACTTATGTAGTGTAATTCTTTAGAAAGGTCTTGCCCGTTATAAATTTTATCCGTTAAAATTTCGGTAAACATTTAGGCCCAGTTTCACAAGTGTCGGTTAACTTTTAATCTTAGATTAACTTACTCTTCGTCTCTTTCTAATAATGCCCGTTTCTACCAACGCGGTTAAAAAGTTAATCCCTAGTGACATTCGGTTAACCAAAGTTTGCCAAAATATTAGTTTCTACCAATGATAAACTCACGTTTAAACGCACGTAAATCCAGTTTAATTTAAACGATCAATATTGACCGTTT